GACATATTTAATCGGGGAGGCAAATGGGGTCTGGAAAGATTTGAACTCAGGACCTCTAGCTCGATACCATGTGAGATTTTATGGTACAACTAATAACTGTTTTAAAAGTTTAAGCTGTTAAATGAAGATATGGTTTAATATTTAATTATTCTAATAAGTAAATTTGTCAAATCACTCAAGGTAATTTTTCTTTTGCATGGCGTTCATAAAATCGTACGTGATGCATAATCATTATGTATGAACATAATCTTACGAGCGAATATGAAATGAAGGTGCGAATTTATAAAAAAAAGGTCGAAAAAAGTAATCTTCCATGCAAAAAACGTGACAATCAAAGCTATCCATCCACTTTGATATTCATTTATTCGTTTTCCTGATCACTGAGCCTATCCATAATCCATATCTTCTTCCCCGTATCGTTGTTAGTGGTTATCAATCCTTTTATATATATATATATATATATATATATATATATATATATATATATATATATATATATATATATATTGGAATTTCTTAAAAGATCGTACATATACTTTTGACTTTTCTGGTCCTCCATTCAAAGCTTTGAACGTCGACCAAGAAAATAATGTACGTCGTCCTTCGGCATCTAACGATTATATCTCTTCTTGGGTCAGAATTGTCACTCACCCTAAAATTGATGCTTTTTTACGAGACAAAAAAAAGTTGGGACCAGAATTATCACTCAATTCAAAATTTGTGCTTTTTTTTTTAGAATTAGCCCTAGTCTGAATAGAAAAACCCCGTACTTCACATGTCAGTACCACGTGTCATGACATGTATAGAAACAAATATCTCTCCTTGGCTATTGTTGTCACTAAATTATGGAACGATCCTGAAGATGTGAATCCAGCTCGCACATAATTAGATGAAGTAAGCGCCGCGTGAGTCCACATAACCCCACGTTGCATGGGCAGTGGGCTCACATTCATCGGGTTCATGCAATAATGACTCTCTGACTGTCCGGCCTCTCTCTCCTTGGGTTATGTTTGTCCGCTTCATCTCTCATCCTCTCTCAACCGCCGGCTGCCATCAGGTTAGCGCCCTCTCTCGCTCGTTGCCATGGCCACCGGGGTATCAACCGCTGCACCAAAGGGCGGCCCAAACCCCGGATCCGAGGTCTGATGTCGCGGCCCGCTAGTCCGTGATGGGGATGCGGTGAAGGGCTTGGGCTTGGGCGATGGCAGTGCATGGATCCACTCCCGTCACTAAGGAGAAGCAACAGTTCTTTTTGTCGGACAAGCCGCCTATACATCTGTGAGCTTTCTGCACATGGATCCTCGAACTGCAGATATGATAAGCGGGTGTCATATAACGTGAGGTTTAAAGTTCTAGTAGCTCGATTGAACTGCTCGAAAATTATTTGAACTGGGCTCGACAACCATCAGAAACCTACTTGATTAATTGCTCGATTCGAATATCTGAAGTTTTAAGGGGGGCTCTAACCCTAATTTGCCTAACAAGATCTAAGCCCGCCCGTATATTGGAGCCTAATCACTGTAAAGATCTGTTCGTCGAATGGGCAAGTTCTTAGAGGGTTCAATTCACCTAGCTCAAGGGACAATACCCCTTTTTTTCCCGGCCAAGAGTCCATATGCCTCAAACACGAAATAGTTGCTTTTGGTTCTGAGCTTATGGCTTCAAAAAGGTAGGACTTCCTCTTTATATATTGCTCGCTTGCTCACTTGGCCATCTCGAATAGTAGAGAAAACTGAGGAGAGAGAGAAGTGTTTGAGAGGAGAATGTTTATGTGGAGAATGCTCCGTTACTTCTTATAAATTATAATGTTGGATAGGTGATGATACAAATGAAAAGGAAGGGGCCCATATACATTTGAGCCCTTCCAATTACAATCTTAGATTTCCCTTTGACCTAACAATGAAGATCCAATCTTTTCATCTACCATCTACCCCATTCATTTCAAGAATTCTCCAGAATACAAGTTGTACATTACCGACAACAACGTCAACGACAATTTAGAGTACTCACTAAACTCTAGACCCTTAAAAACGTGAAGGCTTGTTCGGTCGCCTTAGCCACCTCCTTGGCCTGTTGTGCCTTGGATACCTCTCGTCCACGTAGTTGACTAGCATAGTGACAGATCATCCTGTAAGTTTTCCCAAGGAGTCACCTAGTGATGCCACCTCTCTCTCTTAGCAAATTGACACCAAGAAAAATGAAGAGGGTGCTTGCGCCCATATAATGCACCTGTCATTTCCACTCGTAAAGTAATTAACCTTCTAAAGCACACATCCGGAATGGAGGAATCCGCATATCATTGTCCAGGTAACATCCTTAATATCGATAACCACAATCTTAAATTATCATTCTCAAGATTACCAAAACAGATTGATTGTAAGGACGCCTTGGTATGGCTCGCTAAGTCGTTCATGGTTTCATGCCCATATGCAATTCACACTATTCATTCTTGGCTTTTCTATGCATGGATAATTGCTCCGAGTTTCTGGTATTTTCATCCTAGTTCCCTCCCAAAACAAATTCTTGTAGGCAAAAGCACGTGGCCGGAGCTCATCGGACGAATCGGGAAGGTTGCGGCGGAGATCGTAGAGAGAGAGAACCGCAATGTTAGAGCCCGGGTGTTGCCGGAGGGGACGCCGGTGACGAGGGACTTCAGGTGCGATAGGGTTTGGGTTTGGGTCGATAGGTAAGGGAAGGTCACTCAAGTTCCACATATCGGCTAATATGTCCTTCCCATTAGTTGAACTCCGGTTGCTGCTCAAGTTTTCTCTGTGGTTGTTGTAGTTGTTGGATGCTTGGCCTCTCTCTTTCTTCTTGCCTACCTTACTCATCAAGAAAATAGTTACATAAAATTACTATGTATTCTTATATTTATGAGATAGTCATGGCCCTCAAGTGATCGAGGAGATCATCTTTAACCCTTGATCCGCACCTCATTTCACGCCTTAACTGTTTCAAATACCAAACTTAATTGTACGGTTTAACAATTAAGTTCTTATCATCTTTCCTTTATTAGCCTACTAATCGACAAATCATGTTCTTGCCTTTTCAAGGGATTAAAAAGAGCACGCGGCACCAAATTTGAATAAGGTTTTTTTTTTTTTAAATCACACTCTAAGTTCAACATAAATGTGGGGCGACACGAAGTGGGGGCGGCGAGACCCAATTGCCATCCCTCAACTTTAATGATGTCGAAGCCTAAGATGCGTGGCTTACCACGTAAAGGCATAGAGCATCGCGTGTTACGTAATTCCGGAACTTCAGCCTCCAATCACGAACCTACCTATCGAAAACAACATCGATGGGACGTGTTTTGGTCCCGTATTGAAAGCTACTTATTACGAGCGAAAAATAAGAACACGTCTCCTTCTTATAATTACAAAGGGAAGACCCAAACAAACCATAAAATACCAAAATATCGTCCTCAGTTTCCACTTCGATACCAATTTCCCCCCCCCCCCCCCCTTCTCTTTCCAAAAACATCATTCGGCATCCTCGTACACAAATCCTATGAGCGAAGAGATTCAAAATTGCCCTCCTCTCGTAAGACACCGACTCCCAAATTGAGGTCGACGCCACCGGCGTCCGCGGCCTCGACTCTCGGATTGAGGTTGCCGTGGTGGTGACCTTGTGGGGATCGTCGGCCACCAAGCTCGTCGGAAGTCGAGCCCCAACTCTAGGAGCCACCAGAGAGAGAGACACGGGGACAGCATTCGGTGGTGGCTCTGTGGCGAGGGACGTGAGCAGAGCAGAGGGGAGAGAGAGAGAGTATAGAATATCGATATAGATAAGCGGTGTTTCCAATTTTTTTAGCGACGTTCCACGTATTAGATAAGTTTCTTTAAAAAAATCTAAGAGAGAGACTATACCTAATATATATATCTACTCATCTTGCTAATATAGACAAAAAATTACATTTCACTGATAAGCAGTCGGTAAGTTATTCAAATAAAAATTGGTTCACTCATATAAGAGTTGATAAATTGAGGCATTAGTACAAAAAAAAGAAAAAATTATAATTTATAAACTCTCAAAACGAAGTATTAACTTTATAGAAGTTGTCATTAAAATATAAAGGAAATTTGTTGATCCGTAACTCTTTCTACCAAGGAGCTTTCGACACTTACTAATTTTTTCAAAACTCTAGCTGTACGAAAAAAAGGTTTGTTTTTCTGATAGAACAACAATAGACTGGTTCTGACGATTCTTATCGTTACGATAAAAATATGAACGAAGAATTCATAAAATGAAAGCGCAGGTTTTTTACTAGTAGAAACTAAAACTAATCCCTGTACTTATATTTCATCTTGCATAACAAAAATCAAAATCGAGCCCGGATATTTTATTGCAAGAAAGATTAGATTACTTAAACGAAAAAAGAAAAAAAAAGAAAAAGAGAGAAACAAATCCATCATATAAAGGCCCAAACCTCGGATTCTAACGGGCTGGGTCGAAGCCAACACATGTTGTCATTTCCATAAAACCTCTTGCACCTTCTTGCGTCGACGGTGCTGCTGCTGGTCATGAAACACAATGCAATACAAACATGTCCAATTTTGAGGCGAGCGACGTTCGGTTTTAGAAGTCTCTTGCGACGCAACCATGTGGGTCATAGCTGCTTTGAGCCACTGGCTTCAGAAAGGCCGAGATTCGGCCCGAGAAGCCTTAGCCTTCGGGATGCCAGAGCTGTCGTCGAACGATTTCGATTGCCAAAACCAATTCGAAACATGGGTCTCGCTCGTCGGACGGCGAATGTCAATCGCGCGCTCGACGTCCGTTACCGGGGCCCGCCGTTCGATGAGCACGTGATTCGCGTGCGTCGTGGGACTTTATCATCGCGTTGCGGGAAACGCTTATATCGAGAAAAAACAAACGACATCACAACTAGGCCTGCGCCAGGGAACAGGAACAGGAGAGGAGCCCCTGGTTTAAGGATTGGGAAAGTTTCGGGGGGCGGGTACAAAAGGGTGGTCGGACTTCGAAACGTGTCGCAGTTCGATCTTGAAATTTGATCGTGGCCCAGGAGCACGAATTCAAGAATCTCTCTTTTGACTCCCGTGTAGTCCGTTCGGGTGGGCATCCGAGCGCCTCGAAGATCAACGGCGGAGCCACCTCCGAGCTCGGCAGGTACACTCGGTGTCGCTACACTGAGGGATGGTTTCGACTCCTTTTCTCGATTAGAAGTCTGGAACTTGTTCTCTGCTTTTCTTTGTCGGAGTAGGACTAAGCTTTATTGCTGCTCTTCTGGGTGTGGCTGCTTCGATGGGTCTAACGGGTTGCTGCGTGTGAGCCTGGTTTTTGCTGTACTGGGTCGTCCTCTCTTGCTATGCTCGTGATTCGAGATCTCGTCGATCTCTGTGGATTCTTTGAAGATCTGGGTTTTCGGGTGTCCTTAGAATTGGATTAGAAATTGAGGCTTCGAGGTATTCCTGCTAGATTTGTGTTACATGGTATTCTAATGGCGTGTGGATCTTCACCCAGTAACTGCGAGATGCTTCCGCTGAGTCGGTAGATTTGGGGCTCTTCAAGTCTTAGCTTTTGTCGATGCTGTTCGAGATGCCTTGGGGCTTCGCGATTTGTCGGATGGTGTTTCGCTAGAGGTTTCGATTAGTCGATCGTCTGTTCTACTTGGAGGGGTTAGGGTTTTCGTTTATTGATAGATGTGGAAGCAGAAAATGGGTGAGAAGTTTTGGGCTAACGAAGATGACAAGGTGGTGGTTGAGTCCGTGGTGGGTAGCGAGGCGTGCGAGCTTTTGATATCTTCTGGAAATGCTGCGTCTGATGTTACGTTGCCTGGTGATTTGGGTGTGCAACAGGGGCTAGCTCAGCTTGTAGAGGGGTCTAATTGGAATTATGCTGTTTTCTGGCGCGCCGCAAGCTTACGAACTGGCGGAATCGCCTTAATTTGGGGCGACGGACATTGCCGTGACCCAAAGGTTGGCGCAGCTGAAGATGGAAGCTCCCACCAAAATGTCAAATCAGATAGAGTTGAGAAAAAGGAGGAACTGAACAAGTTGGTGTTGCAGAAGCTTCATAGCAGTTTTGGTGGGTCTGCGGATGATAATTTTGCTTCAAGGTTAGATGGAGTCTCAGATGTAGAGATGCTTTATCTGTCCTCAATGTACTTTTCTTTTCAGTCTGATTCTGCGTATGGTCCTATGGGATCTTTGAAGTCCAATAGAGTAATTTGGGCTTCGGATGCACCGACTTGTTTGGATCATTATCAATCGAGGTCATTCCTTGCAAAGTCAGCTAGCTTTAAGACGGTGGCATTTGTGCCTTGGAAGAATGGTGTTGTGGAGCTTGGTTCTGTCAAAGCAATTCCAGAAGAACAAAATATTGTAGAGATGGTGAGGACATTGTTGGGAGGTCCTGCTTCTAACAAAACGAAGGTGCTTCCGAAAATTTTTGGGCAGGAACTGACTTTAGGCGGTGTAAAATCTCAATCAGTGACCATCAACTTCTCCCCCAAGGTGGAAGATGATTCCATGTTCACTTCAGAAACGTTTGACGCACAGAGGGTTGATTCGAATCAATTTCATGGGGGTACATCAAATGGATATCCTAGTGACAATGAGGGAAAACTGTTTTCGCATCCAAACCAAATTGTCATTGGGGGTTTCAGTCCTCAGACAAGAATTTCTGGCTTGGAGCAACACAAGGATGAGTCATCTCACCATGCTGATGACCGAAAGCCACGGAAAAGAGGAAGGAAGCCTGCTAATGGGAGAGAAGAGCCGCTCAATCATGTGGAGGCAGAACGCCAGAGGCGAGAGAAGCTTAATCAGCGGTTTTATGCATTGAGAGCTGTCGTTCCCAACATCTCCAAGATGGACAAGGCATCGCTCCTCGGTGATGCCATTACATATATCAATGATCTCCAGATGAAAATCAAGGTCCTTGAAACTGAGCAGGATATGGTTAACAATAAGCATAAACCGCAGCTAGTGCCCGATTTTGATGTTCAGATGAGACATGAGGATGCAGTTGTGACAGTGAGTTGTCCCTTGGATGCTCATCCAGCTTCCGAAGTCATAAAAACTTTGAGAAATCATCAGGTTGCTTCAGAATGTGATGTCTCCATGAAGGATGGTAACGAAGTGATGCATACATTCTCCATCAGGACTCAAGTTGGCGGCGCCGAGCAACTGAAAGAGAAGCTTGTGGCTGCTCTTTCAAAGTAATCTCAACTTCTTAAATCCATGCGTGAGGTGAATCTCGCCACCTGCCCTGGATTCGTTTGTGAGATATTTGAGTGATGTAGGTTGTTGACTAGTAAATTTAGATGCATTTCTTGACATGTAACTGTTTGTATTCATATATAAATTGTTGGACAAGCTTGTTAAGGTCGAGATGTGACAGAGTGTCCTGCTAATGTGCCTACAGTATGTTGGTGCGGAAGAATAAAGGACGACTTCAATTGTAGTGTTTGAACCTCTGGACTCGGTCATTGTCAGCTTGTTAGCTTTTTCTTTCCTTCTATTCTTCACAATGTTCGCTAGTTACCTTCGGATTGTCAAGTTTGATGCACAAAGTAAGCATTGATTTGCATTTGCGTCATTTCTTCCATACTCGATATGCTTGGGCCACATGTTGTGATTCACGTGTCGTGATATGTGAAGCGGCGTTTGTGTGCCAACAGTCATTGTTCTGATCTTCTGCAAACCAAATTTGGAGCAGTCATTACTATGGGGACTGCGGCTGCTGGTGCATGAAATTAGCAGTGCTCTGTTTCTTCTCTCTATTTCCTTTTATCTTCTTTTGGTAACCCGATTAGCAGTGACTTGCTATGGCCAACGACAATAATAGAATAAAGTTAGCGTTGGCTTGCAAGAGGTAATATTTGGATCATGTCGTGGGCTTGCGTTCCGTATCATAGTAGCAGCATCGGTGCCTTTCACGTACAATTGGAGCATCGATTGCGTGCAAAAGGAAGCGGGCGGTGGATGCGGAGATAAATACAAGTTTATAAAAATAACAAATGTCGTTAAATTAAAGGGATAGGTGCATTAGAAGTCTCAAAATTTGTCACGAAAGTGTAATTGAGTCTTAAAACTTTCAAAAAGTACAATCAAGTCCTAAAACTTGTTAGCATTTTATTTGTCAAGTTATTTAGAGTTAATGGATGACTTGATTACACCAACGTGACAAGTTTTAAAACTTGATTACACTTTTTGAAAGTTTAAGGATCCAATTGCACTTTCGTTACAAGTTTTAAGACTTGATTTTGAAAATTTTAGTACTCAATTGTACTTTTGTGATAAATTTTAGGATTTCTAGTACATTTATCCTTATATTAAAAATAATTGAACAAATTTTTGTGAGTAACTAAAATGGGGATAATTGTCCAAAAAGTCTTAAACCTATTGTAGGGTGGCCAATTTAGTCCTAAACCTGTCAATTATGCTAATTAGTTCTAAACCTTTTGATGATTTTCCAATTTAGTTATAAACCTTTCGATTATGTTAATTTAGTCCTAAATCTATTATTTGGATAATTGGCCAAAATGACTAGATTGACAAATTGTCAAAAGGTTTAGGATTAAATTAACTAACCGTTAAAAATTTTAGGACTAAATTGGCACAATTGAAAGGTTTAGAACTGAATTGGCTACTATATAACAGGTTTAGGACATTTTGAATAATTTTCCCATCTAAAAAATAGCAAGTCACATAAATAAAGATTGGTAAGTTCATATAACATTATGTAAGTTTGAGGCTGTGGAAAATAAACAAATAGAGGTTACCGAAAAAACTAGTGACCGACAATAATTTTTACTACCAGTCCTTTTTAATGCTTACCAACTCCTTCGAAAATCTACTAGTAAAGAAAAATGATCCGTATAATTTAATGAAACAGCAGAATCGTACTGAGAGTAGAAGACGACTAGAAAACACAAAATAAGATCCATATAATGATTGATCAACAATAGGGGTTTTGTTGCAGCAAGGTTAACACAGTCGCTTGAACATTGTCAGCAAAAATTGCACCGCCAGCACCACACCTTGGCGACTTTATCGACATTGCAAGATCTAGCTCCATAGTTGCCGTGCGTAGTCTGATCTTTTTTGCCTAATTCTAAGCATAGATATATTTAATTGGGGAGAAAAATAAGGCTTAGAAAGATTTGAACTCATGACATCTTACTCTGATATCATGTGAGATTTGGTAGGGATCATCGCCAACTATTCTAAAAGTTTAAGCTGTTAGATGAAAGCGTAATTTAACGTTTAATTATTGGAACACAAGAAGTTCCTTGGCATGTAGGATGACCTTTGGGTGATAAAGAGAAAGTTAATGACAGCCACGTCCTAATTGCGTGCTTACGTCGCCCGCCATAGCGAAACCTTTGTCCCTCGAATAATTGGGGCTTAAAGAATGCAAACCAGCTCTAACGTGATAAATTGTTGATGATGAGGCTATCAAAATGTGATGATTAAACATTGTACGGACTGATCACAATGGTGTACATTTGACTTCTCCAAGATTGTGGTTCGCGCTCATCAACCAAAACGCATCTTCTTGGATCGGGAGAGAAAATAGGACAGCTGATGATGAAGCACTAGTGAAAATTATATAATGTTACTATATCTCTTTACATTTAATCGTTGCGTCAAAATTTCAATAGGTTGTACAATATTTTTCCCTTTATTGTTTCACAGGCGTAAATTTCACTTTTCACACCCACGGGAAAGGAAAATATGCAATTTCATCCGTTAAACGATGGAGAAGCAGAGAGAAATGAAAGAACGAGGGAAGATTTACAATGAAAAAATCGTCAGTGTTGCAACTTGAAGTCCTTGTGGATTAATTATGCTCGTTCACTTCTTCCTATCTGCGGCCACGCCGGATCAAACCATCTCTTTGTCACTGGCATGACCGGCCGGAGGAGCCACTGCAGCGTGGCCCGCGAAGTTCCTGGTCTGCGCGCAAGGCGCCCCTCCTCTGCTTGGGGTGTAGCCACACCCGTTCCCGGGAGGACAGACCGGGCCCTTTTGCAATATGTTGAACAAGCGATGGGGGTCATGATTTTGATATTCATCTCTTTGGTGGAGCGATCTGCAGGCTTCATTGGGTTCGAATCGTAGCAACAAAAGCACAAGAACGGCCACTAGAAGTGCCCTCACGAACTTCATTGTTTTTGGGGGATCGATTGATTTGATGTTGCCGTCGAGAACGTTGGAATTTGATTAGGGTTTGTGCCTATGTGTTGGTATTTGTAGACCATATAGGCCGAGTCTGACTTCAAATCTTCTTTCGAGACGTGTTTTTGAACGTTGACTATCTGTGCACGAGAGAATATGAAAGGATGAACGGGTCAAACGCAAGAATTGTGCGTTAGTATTCGTATGATTCGTGCACACACGCTGACAAGAATGCGTCACCTGGGGAGCGGTTCTTGATACGATGTAATTACGTTTCGTAGGTTCCTGTCTGTTGGTTTGGGAATTAGGATTGCAGAGGTCGATGTCATGGAACGTGGCGCAAGAAAACACCTTTATCTGCTAATTTTGAACGTCTTTGCTTGTTCTGTCGTTGTTTTGCAACCAGTGAAGGCCCGTGCTAGGAGAATTGGTCATTCCATGTCGTTCGTAGGGACGATGCGGCCGATGGATAATTTTTTCGAGCCGGTGAATTTCTTTAAGAGATTGTAAGTGATAAAGAATGGTTGGGAGCAAAAGGTACCGGTAATCCGAGTTTTCGAGAGCTTCTTGGTAACTTAGGACACTTTCATGAATTTTATTTACTCTTTTTTTTACAGCTTACAAATAATCAATATCAATATGATTTTTTTACTAAATTTTAGTTGTCTTTCTTATCGACGCTTAAATTTACTCACTCTACCAATCTTTATTTGAGTGACTTACCTACTTTTGCTAATAAAGTAACTAACTAATTTTGGGTTGCCAATTCTCATTTGAGTTGTTTATCAAAATTTATTAGGTACTTTTTTAATTTATCAACTTTTGTTATCGTTTAGCAACACTTATATTTAGAGCTGTGCATAGTTTGGTCTTTTTTGCCTAATAGTAAGCGTGAATATATTTAACCGGAGAGGCAGATGGAGCCTAGAAAAATTTGAACTCAGGAACTTTTGCTATGATATCATGTGAGATTTAGTGGGGACCATCGCCAATTGTTCTAAGAATTTAAACTATTAGATGAATGCGTGGTTTAACATTTAATTACTGGAACACAAAAAGTTCCTTGGCATGTAGGATGACCTTTGGGTGATAAAGAGAAAGTTAATGACAGCCACGTCCTAATTGCCGTGCTTACGTCGCCCGCCATAGTGAAACCTTTGTCCCTCGAATAATTGGGGCTTAAATAATGCAAAATCAGCTCTAACGTGATAAAATTGTTGATGATGAGGCTATCAAAATGTGATGATTAAATATTGTATGGATCTAGCACGAGGTGTACATTTGACTGCTCCCAGATCGTGGTTCGCGCTCATCAACCAAAATGCATCTTCTTGGATCGGGAGAGAGAATAGGACAGCTGATGATGAAGCACTAGTGAAAATTGTATAATGTTAATATATCTCTTTACATTTAATCGTTGCGTCAAAATTTCAATAGGGTGTGCAATATTTTTCCCTTTATTGTTTCACAAGCGTAAATTTCACTTTTCACACCCACAGGAAAAAAACATATGCAATTTCATCCGTTAAAGGATGGAGAAGCAGAGAGGAATGAAAGAATGAGGGAAGATTTCCAATGTAAAAATCGTCAGTGTTGCAACTTGAAGTCCTTGTGGATTAATAATGCTCGTTTCACTTCTTCCTATCCATGGCCACGCCGGATCAAACCATCTCTTTGTCACTGGCATGACCGGCCGGAGGAGCCACCGCGGCGTGGCCCGCGAAGTTCCTGGTCTGCGTGCAAGGCGCCCCTCCTCTGCTTGGGGTGTAGCCGCACCCGTTCCCAGGAGGACGGACCGGGCCCTTTTGCAATACGTTGAACAAGCGATGGGGGTCATGATTTTGATATTCATCTCTTTGGTGGAGCGATCTGCAGGCTTCATTGGGTTCGAATCGTAGCAGCAAAAGCACAAGAACGGCCACTAGAATTGCTCTCGCGAACTTCATTGTTTTTGGTGGATCGATTGATTTGATACTGTCGTCGAGGACGTTGGAATTTGATTAGGGTTTGTGCCTATGTGTTGGTATTTGTAGGCCATATCGGCCGCGTCTGACTTCAAATCTTCTTTCGAGACGTGTTTCTGAACGTTGACTATCTGTGCTCGAGAGAAATAGAAATTTCTGAAAGGATGAACTGGTCAAATTCAAGAATCGTGCATTAGTATTCGTACGTTTCGTACACACACGCTGACAAGAATGCGTCACCTGGGGAGCGGTTCTTGATACGATGTAATTACACTTCGTAAGTTCTTTTCTATTGGTTTGAGAATTAGGATTACAGAGGTCAATGCAAAGGAACGTGGCGCAAGAAAACATCGTTATCTGCTAATTTTGAACGTCTTTGCTAGTTCTGTCGTTTTGCACCAAGTGGAGGCTTGCAAATTTCTTGATACGATATCGTTGACTTACGATGCTTAAACTTACCAACTCTATCGATTTTCATTTGAGTGACTTACCTATTTTTTTTATTAAATTACCGATTAATTTTGGATTGTTAACTCTCATTTGAGTTATTTATCAAAGTTTGTTTGGTACTTTTCTAATTCATCAACTTTTGTTATCATTTAGCAACACTTTTATTTGCCTCTCTTACAAACAACTTAAATTCACGAACATTTATGTAAATTTACTGAACTTTATTCGTGTGAATTATCAATTTTTCTCCCATTAGATTACCCACCGGTTTGGGTTTACCAAATCTCGTTTAAGTTACTTACTAATGTTTGAAGCATTTATCAGATTTTTGATTGAGTTATCAACTTCTATTTGTGTTACTTGCTATCCCTACAAACTCTTTTTAGAAAATATAGATCTCAAGTTACTATTAAATTTTGCGTTACCAACTCAAATTGCTAGGGACTAGTGACAGGCTGTGAGTGTGAGCTATAATAAAGTAAAAATCCTATACTTTCCATCTTGAAATTCGAAAAGGAACTTCATATCACGCACGGAAATCAAACTTCAATGCAAAATTATAAAAATCAAAGAAACCAGAACGTGCAAATTGGAAGACAAACTTCAGACTTTTGAAACGGAAGGGTGGCAGTGGTTATTGAGGCTAGAGGAGACGGTATAAGATAATAATCGATGAAAAATTTAAGAAAGATCCTTCTTTTTTATTATTTAAAACTTTGGAGAGTCACAATTATGTGAAGACCCAGTGGCGTCGTCTGAAATCTCTCCAAGAAATTTCTTCATGTGCGTGCACAATTTCTTCCTTAATTTATAGTGGTGGCACAGACAAAACTTCTGTTCTTGATCCAAATGGCAACGAAATGAGTGATTTTCATCTTGGGAACAGAGGACCTTCCTCGACATGTCTCCAAAATTTTCGATGATTCCACGCTTCAATTTGGCTTCTCTCTCATCTTGTGAAACTAGGTTGCGTTTGGCAAAAGAAAACCTCTCGTGATCACGGGCGTTTGCAATACTTGTAGATGATCTCTGTCTCCGCTCGGCAGATGCATTGTTCGCATTCCGTGTTGTCGTAATGGTCGATGTCGCGCACCCATCCTCTCCTCTCGCAGTGCTCGTTCTGCATTCGGCAGTCGTAGTGAGGAGGCTCTCCTTTGAAGATCGTCGCGTTGTTCCACCACATGTTACGCACGGCGTCAAGGTACTTCTTGCGGCATTCCACCACTCGCCCGCTCGCATAGACTTTTCTTAGCAATCGAACTCCCTCCTCCTTAAACTCGCCGCCTTTGCCGATGAGGAGGAGCCCAACGACATAGGAAGCTTCAAGATGCCCGATCTGCGCAGCCCTCTTTAGTAGCTCCATTCCTAGCTCCACCTTCACGAAACTTATATACTCATACTACAACATTCACAAATCACAAATGGTTAATTTCTAGCTTTGAATGAAATTATAGAGAATAAATTAGAGAGATAAATCATGTAATTAAACACGTACCAATCCTTGCGTGTACAAGGCTTCCAAATTATCACATTTGATGCACCTCTGAATGAAGGCGTTGGCTTCTTGGGGATGCCACCACAATATCTTTGAAATCTTGTCGAGTGATATTTGTCGGTATACGTAGTCTTCTTTGGCTAATTCATTAAGAATTTTGCAACTGCCGGGGAGAAAAAATGACAAGAACAAGATCTAATTATCTAGGTCGTAATATGAATCAGGCATGCTACCGGGGAAAGGAATTGTTTACGGCAAAATAGAAGATTAGTTTATGGCGCTAGTAATGATTTGACGTCATTTGCAACGATATCATAGGAACAACAAATTTCATTTGTACAGTTAATATATGAGCATATTATCATAAATTCTAATGCTAGTATAACAATTGCAATGGTTCTTTGTACTCCACAGTTGACACTATATTATATCTTCTAACGTCGGATTCCCAGTAACTTTGAAACCATATAATCAAGTTTGTATGGCCAACATCGAGTTTAAAAATCTTTATTAGATAAAGTCATCTATCTAGCAAGAACGCTTGATTGGATGAATAACATCACAACATACAACTACAAAAGCGCTATGTATTACTGTATTAGAATTTCTCTCTCATGTATGATTCAGAGATGAGTAAAATAGGAAAAAGTAAAACATTTGCCCCATATTATTAAAAGAAACCTAGCGAGCCCCAGATTATTAAATTCTCTACAATTTTTTTGCTAGAAAATTAAATTCTCTACAATCATTATTTCTTTAATCAATCAATCGCATGTTAGAGAGTATTTTGTTGAAGGGGAAGATTAACTGATACCTTATTTTCACGTTGAAGAAATCGTCCATGGAGTTGGCGGCGACAGAAGCAAGAATCTCCACCACCACATCATTAGGAAGAACATGGAAGGATTCGATCTCCATAGTTCGCAGACAATGGTGAAGCGACTCAATTTTGATCGCGAGAAAATCGTGTTTCTCGAATCTTTCGGTCTTCGATTGCTCGAGGCAAAAGCAAAGGAAGTATACTAATAATGATTGAAGTGATTGAATAAGAAGAAGAAACTACTCGAAACTTGATCAATGCTTGAAGAGTGAATTCATATAGTGTATATTTATAGAAATATTTTACACTTGTGTTGAACTAAAACCTTGTACGATTCCAATTAGGAAATTAGATTTGACGCAATCTCAAGTTTCGTCTCCTTTTAAGTTGCTTGTTTCCTGTTTTGGTGAGGATTCACATCTATCCATCAATGATCACCCTAGAGTCTAAATCAGGAAAGTGAAATTTACGAAGTAATTGGAGTGAGATTAACACAGTTTTAAATAACGGTCATGAACTCGAGCCCTAAAAAACATTAAATATTCTCTTCTCTTGTAAGTCTAGCTTGTTTGGAAGTGCTAACGAACTGTACTTTCTAATTTTACATTTTACTTTCTTTTCAAAATAATAAATATTTTAAATTGCATAAAATTATGAAACAGATCTAAGTTTAACTTGGGCTCATATTGAAATATTTTAAACGATTTTAATTATTTATATTGTACGCTCTATACCCTAAACGGGAGAAAGACACTACAAGTGCCAACAGTTGTATATGATGCTCAATTTGGTGCCAAAAGTTTCTTTTGAATCACTTAAGTGCTAAATTTTTTGAAAAACGATCACTTAAGTGTTAACTCCCATATGATTGATCGAAAATCCGACGTGGCCTTATTTATTTATTTATTAATTTCTGAAGCCGACGTGGGTTGCTAGAGGTCCAGTCAGCATGTCAACAATAAAAACGACGTCGTTCGGCAGATTTCGCCTCGATAAGAACACCCTAAATCCTCAAATTGAAAGAGAACTCCAATTTGAAAACCCTAACCGGCCAATTTGAGCACTTATTTTGGTTTGCCCCCAAAATTACCAGCTCAATCTTGCAAATGGAGGGTAAGAGCCTCTGCAGAGGCTCACATTTGTTCCAACAAAGCAAACACTAAATCCCTAATTTTGCCCTCGTTGCCCTAATTTTGCCGTCGGAGCCTCAAGGAGAGAAGATGACAAATATGAGTGAGTGAGAGTTACAGAGATGGCAGGTAAGTGACGGCAGGCGAGTGACGGTGAGCGAGTGACGGTGAGCGAGTGACGGTGGGCGGGCGACGACCTAGAGATGGCGGGCGAACGAGCAAGCGACGGTTAGTAGTTTGTTCGTATGCGGTAACAGGAAGCGACACCCTCATTTTCATCCACTTTCTGGGACGTCATTTTGGCCAGACGCTATATGCAACGTCGTTTCGTTTATTGGAGCCATGTCGAACGAAAAAATGACATCGTTTTTCACGTTCACGTAGATTGTGTTTTAAAAAATATGCCACCTCACTTTTTTTTTATAAAAGCCACGTATTAATTTTGGCCGGAATTTCTTGCCGTTGGTACTTGAGTGATCGTTTTTTCTTCGATTTGGCACTTAAGTGATCCGGCGAAAACTTTTGCATCAAAATGAGCGCCGTACACAACTTTTGGCACTTGTAGTGTCCTTGTTCCTACCCTAAACTAAATGGGTGAACACATATTTTTAGGTTTCCTTGGATATTCTTTCCTCAGGCCTAGCTCAGTTTTCATGTTGATGCAAGTTTTGGCTTTCTTCTCTAATAAAAGTAACCCATCACTAATCCAAATTTTTCACGCTCTCGTAGAGGTCGGTAACATTTATATGATCGTTCGCAAATTTGATTAGGCATTTGTAAAAGAAGTAAATAAAATTTTGTTAATGATAAGAAAAGTATCATTTTTCAGAAATAAGAGAAGTTGTTAATTTAAAAAAAAAAACCTAAAAAATATCGGTAACTAACTCAAAAAAGAATTAGTAACGCTAAACTAGTTGGTAACTTAATCGGACAAAAGTTGATATTAACTCTTATTAAGATTGGTAATTTCTAAAAAGAGCCAGTAAATTTAACGAGTTGATAAGGAAGACAAATAATAGCTGATCAGTATTAAACAAGAAACAAGAAAAGAATCGCCAGTATGAAACTTAAAAGAGAGTAAGTAAACTAATTTTATTTGATAACCTATTGGGAGATAAGCAGGTATTATGCAAATAAAAGTTAGTGAAGTCCTATAATTATTGATTAATTTAGGCACTTGTAAGGAAAGTAAATTAAAATTGGTAAAAATAACAAAGTTTGATAAATTATAAATAAATAAATAAAATTTTATAGGTAATTAAAACGAGGGTCGGTAACTTAAAAACTATTTTGGATTTTAATAAAAAAAGTTGATAAATAACTCAAACATATAACGGTAAAAAGGATACAAGAGTTTGTAAATTTGAAACGTAGGCAAGAAATGCAAATAAGAAGTTGGTAAAATTGAAAAGAAGTTACTATTATTTATAAAAGTGTCGGTAAGTTACTATTAAATTACCAAAAGATCTGGTGACCCACAATTATTTTTTCTAACAATTTTTTTTTTACTTTTACCAATTCTTTCATAAATCTACTAATATAGAAAAAAAATCTCTCTAGCTCCTCAGTCGGCGAATGCAGAGCCAACTGGTTCGATCGATCGAGAGAGAGAGAGCTTAAAATCAGTGCATAACTTAAGAATTTTGTTGGCACGTAGGATGACCAAATTGAAGTGCTTACACACACGCTACCCTGCCACAGCAAAACCTTTCCCACAAAGCATAATTGGGGCATAAAGACTGCAAAATCAGCTCAAACGGGATGCATTATTGATGATGAGGCTATCAAAATGTGATGATTAAACACTATTCGGATCGAGTACAAGGTGTGTATATCAATGCTATGTGATCGTGATTCGTGGTCATGAACCAAAAAGCATCTTCTTGGACTGTGGGGGAGAAAACAGGAGAGCTGATGATGAAGCACGAGCGAAAATTGCGTACGGAGAATTGCACATACTCTCTTCTCCAAGAATTATAGATTTTCTAGGTTACCCCTTAAATATCTATATATTTTCTTTTAAGATACTTTGAATAGGAATATGTGGCTAATAGATTGGCCAAATATAGTATTATCTAGAAATAATTAGGAAGATATTTTCTCTACAAATATATAGGAGATTAGAATCACCTCCTTGTGGGGCTATAAATAACGAAAAAGTGCTCCTTTTGGGTGCGAGCATGGGTCCCATCTTAGTGTGTGTGAGTGTGCGTTTGGCTCCTAAGTATTTGTGTGTGCCTGTGCGAGAAGTTCTCCCAGCCAATATTGTAGAAAAAGCCTCTAACGAAGAGGGTGTATTTTCTTTAAGCGAGCTTTGTGTCTTTCTCAACTAGTGGTATTAGAGCCACGCTTCCGCATTATGGGTGAGCAAGATGGACCGCCCAAATCGGGACCGGACAGGACCGGAACGGACCGATCGGTTTGGTCTGGTTCTCAAAAATATCGGTCCGGTTCCCGGTTCCCGATTTTAGGGTGAGAACCGGATCGGATCGGACCGACAGGACCGGACCGATAAATATATATTTCTAATTTTTTCATATATTTATTTATTTACTTTTTAAAATTTTTGAAAAAAATAGAAAGCCTAGGCGAATTTCCCCAATCCTCTCTTGCTTTTACCAATAAGTGATTGGTTCCATTAAAACCGGACTGGACCGGCCGGTCTACGGTCCCAAGACTAGCCGGTCCGATCCTCGGTCCTAGAAACTGGGAACTGGTCCTCTCGGTCCGGTTTCCGGTTCTTGTGTTGGACCGGACCGGACTGGGAACCGCTCACCCCTATTCCACACTCAATATATTTCTTTGCTCTTTCACACTGGAAAAAGAAATTAGATTTCATCCATTAAACAAAGGACGAAGAGAGAGAGAGAGAGAGAGAGAGAGAGAGAGAGAGAGAGAGAGAGAGAGACAGAGAGATTTCCAATGAAAAAATCGTTAGTGCTGCAACTTGAAGTCCTTGTAGATCAATACTCTGTCCATTTCTGATCCTCGACCACGCCAGGTCAAACCATCTCCTTGTCACTGGCATGACCAACCGGAGGAGCCACTGCGTCGTGGCACGTGAAGTTCCTGGTTTGCGTGCAAGGCGGCCTCTCTTTGGTGGAGCAATCTGCACGCTTCATTGGGTTCAGACCTCGGCAGCAGAAGCACGAGAATGGGGCAACTAGAATTGCCCTCAGTAACTTCATTGTTTTTAGTGGGTCAATAGATGATGTCGTTGTTGAAGGACTTAGGAATTTGATTCGAATGGGGGTCATTCTTTCGGGACGTGTTTTGAATGTTGACTTTCTGTGCTTGAGATAATTACAAAATTATGACAAAAATGAATGGGTCAAAGGCAAGAATTGAATACGAGTATTTATATGTTTCATGCAGATGACGAGTGCGTCACCTGAGGAGAAACCTTCTTGATACGATGTGATTATATTTCATTAAGTTCTTTTCTATTGGTTTGAATATTAGGATTAAAGAGGTCAAGTCAAGTAACGTGGCACAAGGAGGAAACGTCATTGTCTGCTAATTTTTTTTTTCTGTCGTTGTTTTGCGCCGAGTAGAGGCCTGCGCTAGGAGAATTAGTCATTCCATGTCGTTCATAAGGACGATGTGACCACACCGGTCAATCTGATTTGTCGATAATTTATTGATAATTTACGATTCTTTCTTGTATTTTATTTACTCTTTTTTATAGTTTAGAAAAATTATCGATACTTCTTATCTTTTTTGTTGTTGTTGCTTGAATCGATACTTCTTATCTTATACTAAATTTTAGTTGTCTTCCTTTTCAATGCTTCAATTTGGCAACTCTCATGTGAATTTACCAATTTTTATCTGAGTGACTTACATATTCTTTTCGATTAAATTATCAACTCATTTTGGGTTACCAACCCTCATTCGAGTGACTAAATATGACAAAGTTGTACTGTTGGGAGCTGTTGTCAAACTGTGAGTGCGAACATTAATGAAGCTAA